AGGATACTATGATCAAGCTCCTCTCGACGAATATGGTTCAGTTTAAAGCTCTTAAACCGGGTTTTTGCATTGTTACGGTTCGAAACAATCTGATTCTGATCCGATATTGTTTTGTGTTTACAGGTCTTTTAAGACAGCCTAAGTACGGCCATTTGAAAGAGCTTCACGCTGCGATAAAATCCTCTGCAAATCCTCTGCTTCAAGGGAAGCAAACGACTCTCTCCTTGGGGCCAATGCAACAGGCTTATGTCTTTGAAGGCGAGAGCAGTGGATGCGTTGCGTTTTTGGTGAACAATGATGCCACTAAAGTCGTTCAAATACAATTCAGAAACAATGCTTATAACTTGCGTCCCAAATCAATTGGTATTCTTCAAAATTGCAAAACCCTAATCTATGAAACAGCAAAAGTAAGTCTTCTTCCTTCTTCTTCCCTGCGAATTTTCAGATCAGACTAATGATAATTAATGACTGATATAAGCATCCGCTTACTTACTGACGATGATTGATAAAGGTGAATGTGGCGAAGAACATGAGAGTTACAACGCCTGTTCAAGTGTTCAACGTTCCGGACAAATGGGAAGTGTTTAGAGAGACAATTCCAACATTATCAGGAGCAGCTTTGAAGACAAATGTTTTATTGGAACATACTAACTTGACTAAGGACAAATCTGATTATCTTTGGTACACTTTAAGGTAATATAAAAGACATTACACATTACAAAAATAATGTTCATTTCTTATTTCTAATATGCGTTTTTGGATCTTCGAATTTAAGGTTTAAGCCTGATTCACCATGCACCAACCCGTCTCTCTTCGTTGAATCATCAGGACATGTTGTTCACGTATTCGTCAACAATGCACTAGCAGGTAAACAAGTGTTGAAAGTAACATGGAAGTATAGTTTTGTTACCAATTTAGTTGTATATATATATGAACCAAATTGGAAGTGTATTAATTGCAGGATCAGGGCGTGGAAGCAGAGACATAAGGGTGGTTAAACTCCAAGTTCCTGTAAGCTTAATCGATGGTCAAAACAACATTTCAATCCTTAGCGGCATGGTTGGTCTACCGGTAAGGAGTTTCCTTGAACCAAACCCCGGTTTAGTATTTTCTTGTGATACACAAAAGAGCAGGACTATAACACATTTCGTTTTTCAACCCTATGAATTTAAAAAAGGACTCTGGAGCTTACATGGAGAGGAAATCTTACGGACTAAAGAAAGTACAAATTAGCTGTGGCGGGACAAAAACCATCGATTTAAGTAGATCTCAATGGGGTTACTCGGTAATATGAAGATTCCTTTGTTCTATTAGTCATGATCTTATGTAAGTCATGACCTAACATGTGTGTTTTGAAGGTGGGTTTGCTTGGGGAGAAAGTTAGGTTACAAAACTCGATGAATCTAAAGAAAGTGAAGTGGAGTTTTAATAAAGCTGGACTCATCAGGAATCGCCCTCTTGCTTGGTATAAGGTATGCCTATGAAATGTATTTGTAAAAAGTATCTAATTTGTAAATATTTTGTGTGTTTGACAAATGTGTATGGGTTATATATATACGCAGACGGTGTTTGATGGGCCGAGTGGGAATGGGCCGGTGGGTCTGAACATGGCAAGTATGGGTAAAGGAGAGATATGGGTGAATGGTGAAAGCATTGGTCGTTATTGGGTCTCTTTTCTCACTCCTTCTGGCAAACCTTCTCAATCTATGTAAGTGTGACTCTTCGCTGTTTATATTATTTCAATTGAAAATGGTTTTCTTTTGTGGATTTTTTTTTGGGGTATAATTTGGATTTGGTTAATGCAGATATCATATTCCAAGGGCGTTTTTGAAACCATCTGGGAATTCATTGTTGGTATTGGAAGAAGAAGGTGGTGATCCTCTTGGGATTTCTTTGAATACAATTTCGGTTACTGGTTCGAACCAAGCTCAGTCTCAACTTTCCTGAATATTATTCTTTTAAATGTTTCTGGGTGATTGGGGGATTTTAATGATAACAAAAGTAATCAATAAAATTATTTGAATGATTCAATTATATCAGTCCTGTGGATATGAAAAAATTAACACACCTTTATACTCTATAGTACTATTATTACAACTTACAACACAAACACACAACGGAGAGATATGGCAAAAGATAAAGAAAGGGAGATACATATATGACTCATATTTTGGATTAAGTCTTCAGACGTTACAAGCTAAGGTTACAGATGAATTAATTAGCTTTCTATATACTTTTTGGAAACTAAAAATCAAAATAAAAGAAAGCTAATTAGAATTAGAATTAGAATAGAGAGATCCACCGATTACGTTCGTATCCCAACAAGTACACAAAAAGATCCAGCTGATTAACTTGTTACTTTGTTGGTCCGCCGAATCCAGTTGTCTCTTCACCGACACCAAATTCACATAACTTCACGCGCCATTTTGACTCACGCGCGTTCCGATGATATCTTCTTACTCGTCCACGCTCCAAGTCTAGCGCGTGGGTTAAGAAGAAACAGAATCACGGACGTGTGGGGCCTACAGGTTTAAGATTTCATATTTTTTCGCCCTAAATAATTTACTACTAGCGTTTATTACTACTGCTATTTTGTTTAGCAAATAAACTCAATATATCTGCTTCAAATTAGTAGTTTACTACTATTTCCCTTTTATTATATATGATGTTTTAGAGAAATTGT